AGTTAGGCACAGAGTATTCATCAGTTGGGGAAGCTGTGGCTCATGTGTCCTTGAGCAAGACACTGAACCCCCAGTTATTTCCGGTGATAACACCAGTTTGTAAATGTGGGTGTGAATGGCCAACTAGTGTGAAAGCACTTTGAATGTGCTGCAATGCATAGAAAAGCACTATACAAGTATGAAACTATTTGCCATCTTTGAGTACAAACATTTAAATCAGGAACTGCCTGCTCAATGTACAACCATGTTTTGGCTGTACTCTACGAATATATTTACTACTGGATCAAAGGCATACATGTATATGTTGTGCTATGTGTGGTTAGACAAAAAAAGCTCCCTCTGGGGTGTCCCAGTGGCCAGTGGTTAAGGTGCATACTCCTACGTCTACAGTTCAATTCCTGGCCAGAGGACCTTTGTTGCATGGCATACCCTGCTCTGTCCCCACCTGTCTTTACTGCCTGAATTCTGTTTATCTCTCACACCATATTGTATCGCTCAAACATCAGCACACACTTGCCAACTTACTCCTGAACTTGTACTGCAGCTAAAAGAGGGACCAACATAATTTTCTTTACACAACAGACAGACAAAAAACAACATCAGCTCTTCAGTGTGGTAGGTTTTTAACTGTCATCACATGAAACTCTGACTTTGAAGATATGTCTCAACACTGCCTCGACAGCCACAGTGACCTCAGTCTATTGATACTTAATAAAAAGGTGACACCTCTTCAGACCCTTGAACTGCATTTAAATTATGTGACAGATCACATATCATTACATTCAAAATACACAACAAGCTAAATTTCTGGGTCATAACATCTGTCTTAAGCTGTTATGGCTACCGTGTTAGAAAACAATTACCTGTTTGCTAGACTCAGACCACTTGAGCCCACTCATGGGACAGTGCCACCATGCCAAACTTTGTGATGCACAGGAAACACTGTAACCTAAATGAAAGTTTTTGTTTGATAGCTTTAGAACATGTCCAGTGCTGGGTAACTCACTGCAGTCCAGTGAGCCACAGTCAGCTTTTGTTTGGTCAAGTCAGCTGCACTTATGTTCTGAGTGCAGGATAATCTTATACCCTTAATATATTTAAGGATAATAAGGATAATCACCTTTATTTGGCCAAGTATGTTACACACACAAGGAATTTGTTTCCGGTACAGAACCAAGGCAGCCATCTGCGGCGCCAACTCACCGATGGCTCTAACCATCAGGGGCAACTTCGGGGTTCAGTGTCTTACCCAAGGATTCGAACCTCTAATCCTTCGGCTGGGAGACGACCACTCTACCCACTGTACCAAAGTCACCCCTGACTACATTTGTCCTACATTTACAGTAATCGCTGTGAGGGTCATTTAACACTATGTATGAGAGCTTAATGTTGCAATCTGCAACCTCACTGCTAAATGTCACTAAATCTCACTCACTGCACCTTTATACTCCCACAAATCCAAAAAAAACAGTGGCCTTAGAAGTCTAGTGTAAATCAGGCTGTATTGTTCACACATTCTGCAGATAAGGAGCAAATTAACCCTAATCTTCACAATGTTCACCAGTAAATCGCTGACTTGAATTTATGAGGGGTTTTTGTTTTCCTGAAAAAGGCTACTTGGTGTTTCTGCTGTTCAATATTGCTGGTTTCTGAAATGACATATCCATAACTTGTCATTCACTGTCCTTTATCCTCCACTGGGACAAGTTGAGCATCTACTGCCAAATAATCTTTCTCAGACCCAGATTTTTTTCAGGGTGTTTTCCTTAAAAGGGGCTGGTGAAAAAGATATGCATCCACAGGGGACATGACTCACATACCCACCCCCAGACCCACTACTGCTGTCAGCCCACTTTCAGTTAGGACTGAACAGTGACTCAGGCCTGCCAGTAAAGAAATGCATCCGAACAATGTCCTCTAGTGAAAAAGCCTGTGTGAACACACACTAGCCTTCAACTCTTCCAGGTGCAACATTTCACAGGCTGATGTTACCCCTGACAACCAACCACAAACTACTGACTACAGTCAACTAAGGAGTCCATTACTAGAACTAATGTCATCAACCTGTGACAAAAAAAAAAACCAAAACAATATTTTGACAGCACTGAGGTTCATCTCATGGTGGATGTCAAGTAATATTATTTCAAGCACAAACCAAAGTCCATGGCCTTTGCTGTCTTCTCACCTCCTCCTACACTAACTCACTGCAGTAACCACTGTACATGACAATAATGGCTGTTTTGCATGTTTTAACCCACTGGATAAAAATTCACACAATCCTTTTGTGAGGTTCATTTTTGTCTGTTGCTTATCCTGAATATTTGACTTCCTGACAGCATACTTATGTACATATTTGACCCAATTCTCAAATGTCAGATGTTGGAAATTACTCATTCACATTATTAGGGACATGTTTAAAAACACTGCCTAATCATTCTCATAACAACATCACTGACTATTAAAGTATACTAAAAATTCCAAAAAGAAATGACACTGAGAAGTGCTTTGAATACTAGTCTACCTTCAGTGATAAAGCTAAAGTGGGTGGACGAAGAGAAAACATCGCTCAGTATAACCGCAAACTACAACTCTCATCAGCAACTGAAGAGTATAACCTTCACAAAAGCAGAATTTATTGCAGGACTGCTGTGTTAAACTGCATTAGTCTTTGCTAGGTGTAGCTAATAAACCTGCTAACTTAACAATGAAGCACTTACAATTGGTGGGAAAATGTTGAAGAAACCAAACTCAAACACATCTGAGTGCTCGATGCGTACCAGTGAAGTACTTCTCCTCTCACCTCATTAAGGAAGTGATTCAGTGCTGGGCAATCATATATGTGAGCCAGATGGAGTAGGAGCCACAGAAAGGTGACATAAAATGTCACCTTTCTGTGGCCTTAAGAAAGAGACTTAAGGACTTAAGAAAGAGAGACAGGGACAAAGCTTTCAGCTGCAACTTTATATCAATAATTCAGGGCTTACATCCTCAGTAGATCTACTATGCACTTGCATCAATATAAATCTGAACTGGCTCAACTAAGCATAGTGTGCTTTAACATTGACAGACACAAAAATCACTGGTTGAGAGGGAGAGACATACTTATATCAGTTTCTATAATAAACAGGATCCTTGAACAGTACATTATGTGGCTCTCTGTGTGCACTCAAAAGCCAAAACAGATAGTCACAGGCTTACTCATTAGCAGTTTCCACTTCAAGACAGAACAAGGTCAAAGATTGTGGTGCTGTTTTTTCCAGACCCCCATCATAACATTATGTGGGTCATTTTTGTGTTGCAGTGATGAATTGCTTAAAAATGCTTTAAAAACTCAGCTCTGACAAGTCCTACGCCCTGCTAATACATTAGTGAGTTTCATATTGCAAAGTTGTGTGCTTGGAGCAGCAGAGTAATATTTGTTCAACCGCGGCAGCCAGGAATGTGATTTTCATGGTCAATGAGCTCTGCTTCTTTAGAAACATTGAGCTGATCACAAGCTGTCCTATTCACTAGCTTTAATGGTCTACCGAGCAAGCCAGTCATCATGCAAAGTGTACCTATTTTAAGTCTTGTAAACCACAGACAAAAAGTCTTCCTCTTTGACTGTGCATACACCCGTATTAATAAAGGAAGTTGAATGCAAAGGAAAAACATCTTCCACTGATCTTCTCAAAACAACTTATGTGATAGCATTTGTGTGCAGTTTCAGTACTGATGACATGTCACCACCTTCTGAAAGTACACGTGTGAGCTGCCCTGGTGAACAAAAAGCAGGAACAAGAGGCTACTGAAAAACAGCCATTTGCAACTCAGTGGGTTTGTGTAATTTGGTGAATAAACTGTAGTGTCACAGGAGATTCATAAAGCATAAGAGGGTGTAAATCCCCTTAAAATACTAGGCCTGAATGAGAACTTGTCACAAGCCCACCTGCTGACAAAAATAATTAAATAATAATGCGGAAAATGATAAGGACAAGCCCTCTTTTGACAGAGGGGGGGAGGGGGGGCAATTATTATATCCATAAATTTTGTTTTTGTTTTTTTACTTGATGTAATACTCAACTAATGATAAAGCCAATCGTCGACTTTTACCGGGGAAAAATAGTTTAGCCTGTGGCGGCTGAAAAAAAAAAACGAGAAACATCAAGTAAAGGATGAGATTTGTTTCCCACCTCTTCGTTAATTAGCAAAAGCAGAAGTAGACTCGACAGTTAAAGCCTACTGACAAAAACGTTTTGTATTTTGTTTCCCTAAATATTAGCTCGCTATCGTTATCTTCACCACGACATGCCAAGCTAGTTAATGGTCAGCGCGTGAGTGTAACCTAGACAACACATTTTCAGTCTGAACCACCCCGACGTTGTGGTGGTGAGGTTTTATACTCTCAAATTGGTTTCTACTCTTATCAGCTGCTCCGGGAAAGTTTTCCCTGAGAAGTGTTAGGTATTTTTAGTCAGATAGATACTTTATGTATTAGAAATGTTTAGTGGAGATAGAATGTCTAGTTAGACTGTTAAATGCTTATGTATGCGTATGAGTTTCTACAGGGTACATCTGGTCAAGGATAACTAGAGAGAAAAGATGGTGACTGTCAGCAGACAGGGTGTTTAATATTATTATTATGACGTGTATAACTGTAGCCTTAGCCATAATATGTTCTTATGTTTAAACCACGACATGTACTAGTGTTTAGCTACACACACACACACACATTGATTCGCTTCATGTTTTGACTACTGCTATGACCAGCTGCAAAGCTGGTAACAGAGACGTCTCGGGGCTAAGCCGAAGAGATATAATGTATAGGCCTGGTGGGTTCGGGAGTCTTTCATCTTTCATCTGCCTGCGTGCAGGTTGGAGGTGCAAGATACCTGAGCATATAATGTTAATTTTACCTGTGATCCTTTGAATAAATCCGCACTGTTTTGAAGTTACTTGCAATGGTAACAAGAACCAAAGACTAACAGAAGAAAAGTTTTAAATTATTGTCATTCTCTTACCTCCTCGAGTCTCTGCAAGTGCCTTTCGAAAAGGGAATATGCTGTCGTTTTGCTTTGGAAGTAGAACTAGTGGCCACAACTGCGACGCCTATTAGCGGATAACATTTTTCTCACGGTTGAAAAGTAGCAGCGGCAACACGGCAGTGTTTAGCTAAAGTACATAACGTATATTGTTTCCGGTTAAACCTTACAAAATAAAGTCATACATTTACGTTTAATTGTGTAACTGTATCATTTTATTCCCGTAATCGGTGTCCTGTTGTGTTTTGGTGGATAATTATGGCTAACTTGACGCAACTAAATTGCAAAAACTTCCGTGCGGCCATCATGTGACCACTGAAAACTCGACAAATGAGTCTGTTGTCATGCAAATGCTCTTTGACTACATAGGTTATTATTCCTACATGTTTCACCAAGTTGTACCATTCCAGGTTAAAATTCCAGGTTAGGATTCAGGAATCCTATGTAATGAACTCCAGTTGTATGCAATAAAAGCCAAATGGCAAGTAGATATGTAACTGCCTGGGTTCAGGCATGAATCCACCAGGTATGATGAACAGGTATGATGTTAAAAATAATGCAGTAAGATGAGACCATAAATATAATTGATTCTGAACATTTACATTTTATGGAGGGGGGCAGTATTGTGCCATTCAGATCATTAAGGTCATTCAGAGCATTAAATCAGATAGGCTGCTCATCTGTTACTTGTAGGGTCACATAAGAACCAGAAGAGGGCAACCACTCACTATTAAGATACTGAGCATTGCAGACAGATTTTAAAAGTATTAAAGTGCCCATGGCATGCTCATTTCCAGCCATTTAATGTTTAATCTTGGGTACCTCTAGATTAGCTTTGCACCCATCATAGCTCCAAAAAGTCTGTAATTATTTCAGAATAATTAAACCAGAGAACTTCTTTCTAAAACAAGAGGATAGTTTGCACAACTCCTGTTGCTGGTGTCAAAAGTGGACAGCACAATGGACCACAACAGCATTAATTTGAATTTCTCCTCCATAAATAGGTAAACAATGATATATGTACCAATGAAAAGAGATGTATAACACTCTAAACAAAGTGGATAATTGAGAAACCCCATATTTTAACTGGCATAATGCAGACATAGTAACTTCTCCAGCCTTACAACAATTCTCTCTAATGTTATAGAAACAAGGCATTAACAGATATGCAACATGTTTGTGTGGTTTTTTTTTTTTTTTTACTTACTGTAAGCCCCACCAAGTCAAGGAAACATGACTCCCTTTCAAGTAGCTCTGAGGTTGGTAAATCCAACCCGTGGTCACTGCTCACGTAATACTTTGTTAGATAAAAAGTCTCAAGAGTGAGAGTTTGCAAGACTTGTATAAACCGAGTTGCTTCTGCACAGAAGTACTAGAACATGCAAACACCTCAATTTTTTGAGCTTTAGGTCACATCTAAGATGATAACTCACCTTTGTAACACTGTAGATAAGTCAGAAAACTAGGAAAAGCACACCATGGCCTCCTTAAGTATATAAATAAGTAAAGAGAAAGACAATTCATAGTAGAGAGATAATGATGCATATAAATAAGCCTTAAATTATTAAAGAGGATTTATTTGATTGCATTTCAACCACAATGAAGAGAGTCAGAAAGATTAAAGCACCTGAGAAAGAGGGAGGCTGGCATGAAGTAAAAGCTCGACCAAACTGGAAAACATCCTTACTCATTCACATGAATGAAAAGGTCATATTTGCAGCTGTCCTGTCAGACATTTAATGTTCATATTTTTTAAGGAGCTGAAGGGGGAAATGCCTATGACATTGCCTTTTCTCTATATGTGTGTTGTGGTGCTTGACTTCTTTGTCAGTAGTCCTGACACCTAAAAGATCTAACAAGTAAAAAGGTCATGTTTTAATAAGAATGATAAAGATGGAGTGTCTAGAAAAAGGAAAACCAAAGGAACAATAAATGAACAAGCTGGAGACTGAGAAACAAAATGGTACAGGGTGGGAATAAATGAGGGAGAACAAATATTTCTGATTAAGGAAAGTGAAAAGGAGAAGAGAAGAAGAGTGGTAGAGGTAGATGATGAGGCAAGGAGGATCAGAGGAGGGGAAAGAGGGGTCTGGAGATGTAGAAGAAGATGAGGAAGAGGCCAGAGAAGACAAGACATTGAAGAAAGGCTGGGGAGCAGATGATAAAGAGGCAGAAAGAATAGGGAGAGAATACATGAGATGGAGGGAGAGGAAAGGAGGTGGGGTGGTGATGAGTCATCACCAGGCTATCAGCTGTGGTGGGCAGGGTTGCTGTGGGGGTGGCAGTGTGACACATGCAGAAACACACACAGAGGGATGCTGGCCATCATGCTGGTTATACATACGTCTCCTCCTGCTGTGGAGGCGGGTGGAAGACAATACAGGGATGCCACTGGGACAAAGAGTTCACACAGCCACGCACATGCAACCCTTTACTCCGCCACACACGAACATAATGGTGGCAGAGCGAAGAGGGTCAATAAGACTCTGAGGATGGATGGATGGTTATATGCAAAGGCAGGGGTAAACAGTCGATAGAGCTGTAGGAAATAGGCCATTTTGCATCTGACATACACTTCCATTCTTCATTCATACTTGATTAGGTGGTGCTTATGCAGAGGTGGATGCTATAAAAAGGGAAGAGACAGTGGATGACATAAAAATTATTCAAAGCCTTGATGTTACGTGTACAGTATGTTCCTCTTGTTGAGGCAGAGACAGGCAGCTTCATAGACATTAAAATCATTCTCATTTTGTGTGTCCAACATGTTGAATGAGATTTTTGGCCCACCATGTCAAGTCATTGTTTTTGTTAGTCATCCAATTAACTCATCACAGACCAACAGAAATTGTAGCTCTTGTACATTTAGAGTATACATGCTCTTAGTTTCATTCTCCGTGGGGAAGAAGGATTGGGCACGCTAAAGTAAGTCATTTTATGAGACATGCAAGCTCTCATCCCTGTGTCTCTTTGGTGTGGAGTTGATTTCAGAGTTGCCATGCCAACAGATTGAGGGAATTCCTAAATCTGATCCAGGCCACTATGCTCACATACTTTACACACAGCCAAGTGCATGGGTACATGCAGACACACCACAGATTGCATGCCAAATAAACAGACCGACAAAATAAACAAGTCTATCATTAGAGTGCATGATACTGTTTGTCCTGTTGGAGCCACGGCAGTACAGCGTTAGAATCAAAGGTTTTGTGCCTGTGTCACTGAAAGACTGTGTGAACGAGTGCAGAGCAAACAGTTAATCAGGCCAGTGCCTTTTGTACCTATTCTAGCATGAGCACAACCACGCAGACCTGAGGGCAGCATCAGATATCTACCCGAGCAAAGGCGTTAACACGTGTAAAACACACACATACAAGAAAAAATGACTCAGATTACCAGTGAACTTTGAAAACATTTGTAGGAATCAGTATTTAATTTTTAAACTCTACATACATTCATACATCTCTCAAATGGAGAAGCAGACAGTACATGTGAGTGAAAAGTCTATTTGTAATTGTTTGCATGTGTGTGTTTGAGAGAGTTACAGGTTGGGGGTCCCAGCTGCCTTCTGCACACCTGCATATTTATTATGTGCTTACAAAATGTGATGGAGACATACTTAGGCACAGCAAGACAACACTGGCAGAAAGATAAAAACTGTGTGTACAAGTCTGTGTGCATTAATGTTGGAGTCAAACAACATTCACTATATACACATGACCATTAGGGGCTGCACCAACCTTTCCCATCGGTTAGACCATAGCATTAACTTGCAGCTAAAAGGAGGGCAGTATAAATTTGAAATCTATTGCTCATATTTTGAATGATGTGCACTGTAAGGTTAGTCAGTAAACATTTTAACCTTAAATCTTACTGAAACACATTTTGTTCTGATAATCTGCATAGGTCCTGATTAGACAAACCTTGAAATTCTTTAAACAGGCAAGAAAAATAACATTTACACCCACTTTTTTGACTGTTAAATATTAGTTTTTCTGACTTGTAAATGTTGTATACACTTGTGTTCATACATTATGTATACATATATGGGACTGAGATGGTCAGGTATGAGTTTGACTGTGTGCATGAATGCCTACATACATGTGTCTGTTAGAACGCCTTCATATGCAACTGAACACACAGTGTATGTACGCTACCAGTCAAAACTGTGGACACACTTTCTCATTTGATTTAGTGGAAACGTATGTCCAAAGTGTTGACTGGTAGTATATACATGTGTGCATGTATAACATCACATCACACGTTTCCCTGCATTATTGTTTGGGTGTGTACTGTATGAATGACATGACTGTGTCTGTTAGTCACTGTCTTCTCTCTCCTGGGCCTCAGTCAGAGAGCTCTCATCTATATTCTCCAGGCTCTCTGCACGCTGGATGCTGAGCTCAGACAGGGGGATGCTGGGTAATGTAGCCTGTTCAGGATAGAGCCAAGGCTTGAAGCCGGGGTTGTGTCTCTGCTTCCACTCTGAATACTTCAAACAGGCTTTATGGATCTTCTTCATCGCCTAGGAAGAACAAAAGAGAGAAAACAAAGAAAAACTACATAGCTCTTTATTTTTTTAGGGATTTGATAGATCAAGAGAGGAAAAAGTCAAGTTATGAGCAATGGAGATATCAACAGATATATATATAAAAAAAGAGGCAGATTAGTTGGGAGGAAGATGCTGTATGTTTTTAGAATGTGGAAAAGAGACATTTCACATTTTATAAACATACAAGGTCTGCATGTTGGTCACCCTGACGGGCAGTGAGCTGTGTGTAGCCTCACTGCACGGTGGATTAAAATGTCAACACATTCACAGAATGTGTGTTAATCTGCCAGTTACTTACACGGGGAGCAAGGAAGTGGGAAGACTTGTTGACAACCCATTTGGGTAATGAACCTGCAAAGAGAGACAGAAGTTATTTTTACCGTTCCAAAGAGTCGCCAATATGCCGCCCTTATGCTGTTCATATAGATCGAGCTAAGGGCGGCATAATCACGAGCTAGCCCGTGAATTCAGACAGCAGGCCAGCATTCCACACTCGAGGTGTGATGCGACGTCACTCTGCGTCGATGGTGACATAAATTTTGCTCCAGTAGTCCACAAGGCAAAACAACAATGGCGGGAGAGCTAAGTGGGGATGTAGCTTTGTTGGCTCTTCAAGCAAAGAGACATTATTCTAGGCTTTGAAGACAACCTGATGGACATTGATTTTGTTTATTTTGTGCAATTAATCATAATTAAAGGGACGTTTCACATACAGAAAAAGAAATTGAACCCGAGCTTGGAACACTTTTGT